ACGGAATCCATAAATTGCCAGAAAGATGGGAAAAAGTAGTAGCTAGCGATGGACAATACTTTCAATAATGTATTAATTCATTTTATCATTCAAATAAATGCGTTTTTCAAGCAAAAAAACGGACCGAATTAAGTTGTACACCCAATATATATATATATATATATATATATATATATATATATATATATATATATTGCGTATACATAGCATATAAAATATATTATTAAATATATATAAATATTATATAAATAATTAACATATATATGTATCATTGAATTTAATTATGCAATATTTGTGTAATAATTATAATTATAATTATATAATATTTGTGTAATAATAATAATTATAATTATATAATATTATTGCACGATAAAAATTACGATTTTCGTTAACTTGTGTCTAAAAAAATCTGTTTGTTTAGACATTGTAATGCATTTACTTTCATAAAATAATTTTACTTGAAAATAAAATATTATTAATTTAATTAATATATATTTGTGGTTCTCTAATGTTTAGTTCTTTGACATGTATGTAAGAATTAACGAATATCCCCTCACAGCATCGAACATTGCAGTAAGATTATGGGTAGGTTACAAGCTTACATATTTTAATGAGCACGTTAATGCCATCTGCCATTAACCTTACAAGATAATCTGATATTATAATATTGTCATAAATTTAATATAATCTTTAATATTTCAACAAACTTACGTGTAATTAGTTCACTTTCTGTGTATTTTGAAAATACTACACATTATTGAAATATAGTTTATTAATAATCACTTAATGGTATATACAACTTTATTCATATATAAAAATTTTTTTTATTATTATAGCAAATATAACTAAATTAAATTAAAATATTAATAATAAAATTAACTCTAGGTTGTATTCAATAGCCGCTTCAAATGCTTTAGTTTTATGTATATCTCTGACTTTTCTTTTATTATAATATATGAAATATTTGGACTATGTGGTGGATCGATATAGATCCATACAAGTACGACCGCCGCAGCCGCCACATAGGCAGCGCGGCGCCGCTGGGAGCGGTGCACTTGAACACGGTGCATTTGGACACAGCCAATCACAGCACCGTGTGATTAGAGACATTTGTAGGGTCCCTTGGAACAGCGACTTGTGATTGGACTGTGTCCAATTGCCCCGTGTCCAACTGATATACACCCGGCGTCGCTAGCCGAGCCACCGCCGCAACCGCTAGAACCTCCGCGCGGCGCCGTTCGGCGGCGCGCACATGGAGGGCTTTTCTCGCGAGAAAATTATCATTAACAGATAATAAGAAGCCGGACTCCGCGAAGGGTCGACACACTCCGCCGCGCTGGCTTCCTTAGCATTTTACCGCAGCTAGAAAGTCATCGGCCTCGGCTATGAGCCATATCCGCTGAAGAGCCATATCGGCATCGAGTCTCTCGGCGCTGAAGAAGCGCCCCGGCATCCGCTGAAGAAGCAGCATCGACTCTCTCAGCGCTGAAGAAGCGCCCCGGCATCCGCTGAAGAAGCGGTATCGACTCTCTCGGCGCTGAAGAAGCGCCCCGGCATCCGCTGAAAAAGCGGCATAGACTCTCTCGGCGCTGAAGAAGCGCCCCGGCATCCGCTGCAGAAGTGGCCTCGAGTTTCCAGACGTCGAAGAGGCGTCCAACGGAAAGCAACCACGCCGAGGGTAACGCGGACGTCCCCACGAGCCGGTTCCCCGGTACGGGAGCCTGCCCAAAGGCGGAAACAGGCAGGAGGGCTGCAACGACGTCTACAGGAGCTATTCGGGAGAGACTCACCCGAACCCCTAGTAGTTCGGCTGACACAAGGGGCACTAACGGGTCGTTCTCCACGACCGCGCACCCCGTCACCCACACGAGAACCCCATCACCCCTCCACTGGGAGTCGCCCAAATTGCCAACACTGACCACCTCCACGGTAGGGACCATTACCACGTGGAGGCTCCAGAGGATAGACATCCCACGGCGGCCGTTGACACGGCCACCTCTCTCGACTCTGACCTACTGTGACTCACGCGTCGGACGACCAATATCTCCTCGATTCGCTTTCAGAGACGGGCGCCACGCCGACAAGGAGAACCAGGGTATTTCCACCCGGAGCATCAGGCAAAGGAGGGTCAGCAAAAAAGTTGGACACTTTAATAAACAATGACTGATGGGTTAGGTTAGGTTGGGTTTGGTTAGTTTTTAGGGGGGTGCGGGGGGCGCAGCCCGTCCCCGTCGTTCGATATTTTTCTCCTGTTACAAAAATGTTAAAAATGTTAAAAATATTTATAATTTAAATATTTTTATTAAGTAGGTATAGGCAAATATTTTACACAGATTTAATAAGGAAAAATTAGTAGATTTTATAATGCAGAGTATGTTTCGAACAGCCCGGGATGTTGAGCGGCTATGCCGTCGAACCACCGTCGACTGCTACGTTTGAATGTGCGACAATAAGTTCGTGCTCTCCTATCCAGGAGCCTCGTAAGATAATGTGAGGATGAGGCAAGTGTGCTTCAAGGTGTGCGAGCCCGGCGCTTCCGCGCTGGGAAGAAGATCCCCCTTCCGGAGAATGATAATCACTCAGAGTATGGAGACACTGATCCGTCTTCTTTCGTGAGTGTCGGAGCCAAGCCCGAATAAGATTCAGCTCTGTTTGGCGAGGGAGCAACAGAGGCTAAATCTGAGATGGTAGACCGGCGAATGTTACTCGCCTGAACAGTCGCGCACGCGGCGAAGGCTATGTCTCGTAGGGAAAGCCTAAACGCGAATGTAACTCTGAATCGCATGTGCGGCAAAGTCTAAGTCTAACGTTGACTTACACGTAACCGTGGACGCGTTGATAATGCCGCATGTGTGACTAACGCTAAGTCTCGTCGAGACTAGAAGCGAATATCCCTCGCGTGTTGAGTCGCGGATGCGACGATCTCTAAGTCGGGAGTAGACTTACACCAGCGAACTTGGTTCGCGTGAGCGCTGCGCCCCTGGCAGCTGAGCAAGCGCGAGTGACTCGCGCGAGAGTGCGGCCCTGGCAGCAGAGTATTCCTGATGACAACGACGACTCGCGCGGAGTCGTAAGCTCGACAGTACAGAATGCTGTCGAACTGCTACACGCTGTCTGCGATACTTGAGCTATCGCGAAGGAAAGCGTCCACCGCGGTGGAGGCTTCGAGGTAATCCGAATGGTCGCGCGAAGCCTTCTCTCAATTCTCGATCGTATTGAGAAGGTGGAGATCAGTGGAGTTACCTAAATACAAATGCCAACGTGTCTCAGACACTCTAAAGGCAGTGAAGATCAATGCAGAGATGCAAAGGAGTACCTCTGGTGAGGCAAATGCCCAACATGCTTGCGCACTCAAGAAAGCGATATGAAGCTAGCTAGAACTCAAAAGAATACCTCAACGAGGCCGTGACCAGATGTGCTAACGCAGTCAAAAGTCTTCAAGTGGTCTCGCGCGGCGCTTTATATAGGGGCCGAAGCGAGATTTAACCGCGAGTAACGGCTCCGGCTGACGCCGTCGCCGCGTCACGGTGACGGTGCGCATTGGCGGCGGGAGGCCGGCGACTGCGAGTCGAACGGCGCCTGGGGCCCGGCCGCTCGCCATACACGCTCCGCGAGGACGCAACGTTCCGTCCGGAACACAGTGTTTTGGCACTTACAATAAAGTATAATAAACGTTATAATATTAATATTAAATATAATAATATTATATTAATTGTACTTACTGCAATAGTACAGAAAAGGCAACTCTACGAACAGACTTTACGTTGCAATGGCTGCGTTTGTTTGGCGCTTAAGCCCATTCTACAATTGCGTGAACGTGGTTGTAAGTGATTACGACACCAATCAGAGTAAAACAATCAGTGAATAAAACATTCGGATTGGTTGACTCTTACGTTCACGACTACGCTTACGCAATTGTAGAATGGACTTTACAATGCTCTGAGCATCATTTCATCCTTGTTTCTATCAAATACTAAACAAAGACAAATGATGCTTACACTTGCTATAAGCGCCAAAACGAACGCAGCCAATGACAGGTTTCCTAACCTATCATACCTAGCCTCTTTAACAATTAATGGCTGCGTTCAGCAGAGAAAGCTGCTTTGCTGTTGTAAAATTCGTAAATCTAATAGCGAATTCGGTTGTTTGCACTAGTGTGCACTGAGTGCGCACTAAGGCTTGTTCATAGTATGTTATTATATTTAAAGATTGTCTTAAATAATTCTCAAATAAATTCTCAAATATTTTTAACCATAATATGATATGTATAACATCCGTACGAATCATTTTATTAGTTAAAATGTTTTTAAATATGTATTTAAGACACGATCTTAAATATAAGAATGTACTGTAAACAAGCCTTAATGCGCACTCAGTGCGCACTAGTGCAAGCTACCGA